CATATCATGTGAGTGTATTACACTGTATTACAAATGCCCATATGTAACCTCCTTGGTTCAACATCTTTTGGCTATTTGTATTGTATTCAAATATATATAGGTTCATTTGCCCACGTTCTTACAAAATTGTAATGGAATTGCCTTTCTCCATTTTGGCCAATAATTTTTTTTCTTTTGTCGACGAACAAAAGAACGTGACTCAATATTAACACAGCTCATTGATGAATTTAGTAGCTACTTGTAAAAACCAAAATTACCATTGGTTATCATCAATCCGTGATCTCATATTCTCATGTGCATGCGCATGCATAAAAGCTTTTCATTTCTTTGGATATCCATTGCCTCTTCAAGGGCATGACGATATCTCTTCCAGGATAGTCATAATTTAGAGAATGTGGATCATAACCTCCTCTTGAGCGTTATAGAGCTTGGATTTTAATCTCCACTTCCGGGAGTTGAGTCATTGGAACCTATATGTCTATTATGCTCCATGTATGAGACATCAACATTCCCATGTCTGTGGATTGTCCTATCTGGGACGTGTATCCATGCGGCGACTGTCATGCTTCTGGCATGCAACAGTTATGCTTCGGGAATGCAATAGTTCAGTAGTGCCATATTATTCTTCTTTCGAATAACTAAACCTTTTGAGTCTAAAAATCTGCCACGCTTCAGGCGTGTAACAGATAAATCATTTACTGTCTCATTATTTTATCCAACAGAGACATCAATTCTTATAGGCACATTTGCAGTAAGTATATATGATTTCATCACTTTCGTTGCATCATTCAATTATTCATATTTCATTTTCTCATTGATTGCTTCGTGAATCAAAATAAGACAAATTCTCTTCGTTCTTCTGGAACGGTCTTTTCTCATCATTCTTTTGGAATGATATTTTCTCATCGTTCTTCTAGAACGATATTATTTTCTCCCCCTAATGGCAGGAAAATTGTCTTATCAAAATGACAGTCCGCAAACCAAGCGGTAAATATATCCCCAGTCAAAGGTTCTAAATATTGAATGATAGATGATGTTCAACATCAATGCCCGTTTCAGTACGTTGTGGCAGTGCAATAGGCACATAGATAACACAACCAAAAACTCGTAAATGTATAATGTTTGGCTAGTTCCCAAACACAAGTTGTACTGAGCAATATTGATGGTTGGAAATTGGTCTCATCCGAACTTAATAATGCGTCATGTAAAATGACATGTCCCCATGTAGAAAACTGGTAATTTCGTTTTCATGAGCAGAGCGCGGGTAATCAATTTTATCCGCTTAATAAATGCTTCTGCTAAACCATTTTAAGTATGGACATAAGGAACTTCTGGTCCTTATTAAATAGTCTATGGACTGAGACTTTTATGACCTTTATTATAATTAAGTTGAGGCACTGTGGCACTTCAAACTTAAGGTACTTATCAAGAAACTTCATGTCCGATCTTGAGGATCTAGGGACTTCATGTTTGATCTTTTTGCATGATGGAACTTCGGGTCCTATCATTTTATGTGATGAGGATCAAGAAACTGCAGGTTCTGATCTAATCAAGGAACTCTGGGTCCTTGTTATACTCATCGTAACAAAAGATAAGTACAATAAATAAATTAAAGCAATAGGCGGTAATTCCAGCCATAGTAAATAAATTGAACAATAAATAAATTAAAGCTTGTGACAAGGGCTTTAATTCATCACCATTCACATAAATCAAAACTTAAAGCAGTAGACGGTAAAACCGTCCATGATAAATAAATTGCTGTAAAGTAAATAAAGCTTGTGACAAGGGCTTTAATTCAGCACCATTCACATAAATATCAAAGTTTTAAAGCAAAGGGTAATAATTCTACCCACTGTAAATAAATTACTTTAAATAAATAGAACTTGTGAAAGTGTTTTAAGCCAACACCATTCATATAAATAAATATATACATATTTTCTTCTTTCTTTTCAGATGGTGTAACACCATCCAAAAACCTTTACCTTTATTTTATTTTTATTATTTTCTTATTCAACCACATTCTACACCATTCCAAAAAACATTGCCTTTTTCTTTCATTTTTACATGGTGCAACGCACCTTTCCAAATCATTGACCCCATTTCCTTTTTAATTTTATTTATTTATTTCTTGCTTTTTCAAATGGTATCATACATTATTGCCTTTTTCAGATTGTGCCATGCATATTCCATAATCTTCCCCTTTTTCTTTGTCTGTCTCTACCAGTCTCGAAACCCAGTATCAGCTGGGTTGTTGTGGAGGTCACACAAAACCAATTCAATCCAAAAAGGCTACCAGATACTGGCGTTGTTCTCGCATGGCCCAAAGAACATGGCATCGCAAAGCAAGAATCTCTCCACAGAGACATAGATGACAGTGAGGTTGACGGAGGCACAAGAGAGGGAGGCCTGTGTGGAGTCAGTCATGCCATCACCATCTCAGACAATTGAGGATTCATGGAGGTCCTCGAGATCCATTGAGAACGACACGATCTGGGTTTCCAAGTCTAATGAGATTCTTCTGGATCTCTGGAAACCAGTTGTCAGGTACGAGTTTTCTTATCTCGTGACGACTTCAGGTCGTTGGAAATTTCAATTCGCACCGGAATTCGGTGGGGCGCTTCTGGCGCGGTGGGAGAAATGAAAAATGGACATACCTTTGCTTGTTTTGCTGCACCTTTGTTTGTCTGTAAGATCTCTCCATCTTTCTTGTCCACGAGAGAAAAATAGATTGCAGGTCTAGCAGGGATAAGGATTAGCACATCAATAGTTAGAGTGATAAAGGAAAAAGTGATAAAAGAAAGGTTGATGGATTTTTGTGACAAGATGATCTTCCCTGTTTGACATGTCTAGCTTGCCGTCTCTACTCTGTGAGATTTTAGCTGACCGAGGTGAGAAGTAGATAATGCTTCACCGGATTTATGGTGTTGTGCTTTCCACTGACATGAGAGCTTTTCGTGCTGATAACGTGTTGTAAAATCAACTGTAGGTGCAGTGGAATAAATGAAACAAGACACAAAATTTACGAGGTTCCTCCACAGTCAGTGTGACTGGAGTACGTCCTCGGGGCAGCAGTGGTGCTTTCATTATAATTTGAAATAATAAAAGTACAAAGATAACTCTCTTTATTATCTCCCCCTCATCTTCCTCATCTTCGTCTCTTCCTCTTCTTTCCTCTCTCTCTTCCTCTTCTTCCTTTTCCTTCTTCTCTCCCGTGAACTCCACCACCAATTATGAAACTCTCTTCTTTTGTTGTGTTCCATAGTGTTGTTTTTATAGAAGTAAATCACATGCTAAATAGTGGAAGGGCAACTTGCCCATTATTTGAGTGGACATCCATTTCTACAACATAATTTATTTATTAAAAAAAGACTTATTACTCGTAAAAAACCACCTATTTCTGCTAAGGAAAAAAAGAATACTGGTTTTTAATTATGGTCTCAATCATTTTTATATGATAAGGGGATGAAGCTAAAAGGATATCACAATATATTTACAGAGAGAGAACCACCATCGGGTGGTTCAGTAGTTAGGGACAAATTTTAGGTCTGTATTTTACACAGTACGTTCTAGGTTTGATTTTTGTTGTGGTGAATCACAAGATGGTGGACAGGAGAGACTAAAATCCCTATGTAAGTCTTCCTAGCTCCTAGAATGATGGACTACTATGTTGAAGCCATCAATTTGTCATTTTTTCAAGGAAATAAATAAAATTACACTTAGGAAGAGAGAATAATGTGAGAAATTTCTGCTGTCACAAGCATTACACGTGTTCAATAATATATTTTTAATACTATATTATTGAGTCAAATCGTCCAGGAGAAACACGGAATTACAATTTCAAAGTCTGCAAGCAAAGATTATCATACTTGTTTAGCTTGCAAGTTTCTTTGACATCCATACACCAACCAACCTACTTCATACAAATGATTAAAATCCTATTCATTTTCAATTAGGTTCACATCCTTCTTTTTGTTACTACATTGATTAAAATCCTATTCATTTTCAATTTTTGATCAAGGTCCTTGGGTATTAATAACATCATTAATTATTTGAATAATAAAATATTTTTATTTTTAAATATATTCCTTTAATGTTAAAAATGTTACAATTAGTATATTTATATTTATGGCTAAATTTTTTTATCATATATTTTTATTTTTAGTTTGTACCTATTTTTAATTTGTAAATATTTTTTAATTTGTACCAATTTTCTTTTCATTTTTAATTTGGACCCATATATTAGGTTTTTTTTTGTCCCCATATTTTTTAAAGTTTTATTTGTGTTTGTACCCATGTGTATACAGTCACGTGATATTGTATATTTAATCAATGATAGAAAAATTACATATGGTATATTTATGTTTTATGCCTAAACTTTGTATCATATATATTTTTAGTTTGTACCCACTTTTAATTTGCAACATTTTTTTTTTTAAATTTGTAGTATTTTCTTTTTAGTTTTATTTTGTACCCATGTATTAATTTCTTTTAGCGCCTATATTTTTTAAAATTCATTTGTATTCATAATTTTTAATCTTTTATCTGTACTCTAATTTATTTCTAATGTACCCATTTATATGTGAAATGTACCAATTTTTTTAACACTATGGATACATTCTTTTGCCATTTATTATTTCTTATTTTTATATAGTTTTTATCCATTTATTCAATCAAAATATTTGAATTTTTTTATTGTAACCGTTTCTAATAGTATTATAATGAGGGATTTTAAATTTATAGGATTATAAATCTCATAAAATATCAAACAATTAATGTCAAAACTATAAAAATATAAATATTAATAGTAATATAATGAAATGTACAAAGTCAAGGGACCTTGATCAAACTTTGAATACTATTAAGGTTTTAATCAAAGAATGTTAAGGATTAGGGACCGCATCCAAAATATATATATATATATTATATACATTCTAGTTAATTTTCTTTTCTTTTAATTTTAAAATACAATTTTCTAAACTATTTGAACTTAGGAGTTTAAAGAGAGATTTGAACTCGAATTGCAAAGTGATGAATATACTACTTTGACCAACTGCTAACTGGTCTCACACACATCTGCAATTTTAGTTGTTAAATCCAAATAGACGTGGAGCGATTCTTAGCAATGGCTCCAATGTGCTTGGATGAAACTTTCTTGCAAAGAGGTGGCAAATGGAACCCACGCCACCATTGTAAGTACAATTAAATCCATCTCTTAACCGATTGAGAAACTTTTCTGTCACGTCTTTCCTCACAAAAGTTGCAGGGTGCGAGCCACCTCTTGACCAATCAACCCAAGTAATGCTCCTATTAGAATTCATGCCAGCGCCAACTTTAGTCACAAGAGTTGCCATGTAGTGCTCATCCGTGTAGCAAGGAGGCAGGCAAAGGTCCTTAAATTTAGGGTAGTATGTCACGTCGGAAACTACCTCCACCGCAAGCTTCCGGTGAACTTCAAACCATTGCGAGCCCTTCCGCCAGTCTGACAACGTCACGGTTGGAAACATTTGCGGGTTGTAACGCCCGCGACCAATGTGTCTTGGATCGTCGAATGAGCCAACAAAAGTTTGGTTGGAGTTGGTGAGGTACTTGTAGATTGTAGTGAAGTTGAAGAGGGGTATGCATGATTCAGAGAGCAAAACGAATCTCTCGTTTGAGAAATCGAGTAAGGCATTGGCTAATAGGCGCCTCTCTGCATCAACCATTGTTGCCTTTCCCCACTCAACTATCTACAGAGTACAGTTTCATGAAGAAATTAATGAATTGCATGCCAAATCCCACTAATTGCTGTTTAAATTCCATTGTTAATGTGTCAAATTTTCAAAGAGACGGGCCAACAATCTACTGCTAATCAAACCGATAATGTCTCCAAATTGCATGTTATAACGAATCATTATATGTTGTTTTTCACTTGGTCAATTTTCCGACGTAAAAGTTGATGCATTCTTCAACATAAAGTTCTGACCTTGCTTGGTATCCTGCGCTTGTAAAACACCGAGGACTCCGGTGGCTCGATCTTAAAGTCTGGTCTTGAATGGAGATAAACAGAGAATAAGCCTTCATGTCCTCTGAAAAATATTTCCCAAAGTGGCGCCAATGGCAATCGTCCCTTTGTTAGGAACATAAACGCCACCTTTTGTGTTCGGTTATACGGGTGCTCCATGACTTGTGGCACCATCGAAGCTCGCCAGAAGAGCTCCTCGTCACTCATGGAATGCCATAGATCCTTGGGCGCTAAGTAATCTTTCAACGTCGACCCTCCTGGACTTGAAATACTAATGGGCAGTAAGCGAGAGGACAAAGAAAAGTTGCACTGGAAATGATGTGTGTAGGAAGGCCGAGGTGAGAGGGGGGTGAATGTGTTGAGCTGAGGGACGATCTGATCTGAGCTCAGGAATTTCTTCGTGTGATCGTTAACGAAGATTCCGAAAAAGAAAATGAAGAAAAGCATGGACACAGAGAGGATGATAGTGATTTTGACATGAAAATGGCCTGTGGTAAGCTCTTTGACAACTACAGTGAGCTTCCCTTGGTTCATGGCTCTCTGTTTTTTGGGTCTGATTCTGAGCATGTGAAAAGTGAAAACTCAAAACAAGAAGCTAGATATATATGTAGGAGAGAGGCTTGCGCTAGTACGCCAAAGTAGCATCCTGAACGAATAACGCGATTCCATGTGTTTGTTTGGAATGTCACGGTAGTCAGTATAGGTAAATTTCTCGCGTTAAATAGGTCAGCCATGTGAAATGGTGTGTAAGGGGAGTGTGTTGAGTGATACCGAGTGAGAAAAGGTTGGTGCCTGAGAAATAGGTAGGCCTAAAAGGCTAAAACGTTTGATTGGAGAGGGGAAGAGCACATGAGAAACACCATCACAGCCCTGAAAACGTTATGACGGAGTACGGGGACATCAGTGGAGAGCACAGGGCAGAGGTTCATCAATATCATGTGTCAAAGGTTTCAGAAATATTGGTATTTTATACGTACATCAAAAGGGCGTATACGCCGACGAATTGAAAGATTAGTGTTTCAGTTTCGTCCCTTAAGGATAACTGGGGAACGTTTTTACTTTTTTCGCTTTGAACGCAAGATTGAGTTGAGAATATTTTTCAAGGGAATTGGGAATTGACCAAAGCACCGAAAAGGAGCCTCGAGGAAACACTTGCATGGGACGAGCGTATACGCCCTGTGTTCATCTCACTCATCAAGTGGCCATGATGAGAGAGAGAGAGAGAGAGAGAGAGAGAGGCGTATAAGCCCATCCTACCAACCAAGGTTTTTCTCTGGGATCAGTCTGACTTCGATGAACGAATGTCACTGGTAACAAACAAAGGAGTTGTACAATTTCGACATTAACAAACAAGTACAGCGCGTTCCTGGGGACTTATCCTAGAAATGGATTTTAAAACAAGTCTTATCTGGGACTAAGCCTGTTTTTAAACATGTACAACACAACAGCAAAGCTAGCCACCGCCCCGGCAACAAGAACCTGAGATTTCCTTGGCTTCGAACAATTTAACCTGACAACACTACTTAAATATGCCCCAATCCATCGAGAGAAGAAGTGCAGCCTACAAGTTTTTTGAAACCTCTGAATCGAGAATTCCTGCACGAAGTAATGCAGCAAGCTTTTATAAGCCCCCTGTGAGTTAAGAATCAACACTGGAAACACTGTTTAACTCTTCAGTGCTAAAATTGATAAGGGTGTAACGATCCAATAACAAAAAAAGATCGTCTTTCTGTAAGTAACATATCAGACCAGAAAAACGGATATGACATAATTCAATTCATAAACATTTTAAGATTCTTTGTCTGGGCTCCGTATATTTCAAGGATTCGATTAAGCTGCAAATAATCAAATATCATTTCGGGCGAAACATGCAAGTTTAGTTATCTAACCTAAAGGTAGTTTGTAAAAGGGCCAAAGAGAGAGCAGCTTCCTCACTTGGGCTCATAATTTACCCACCTTGGCAGAGAATTCAGCCAAACTGCTATGGAAAGTTTCTAAAGAGAATCCCTGCACACCTTAAAGGGAATTGTTTGAATTTGAATTTAACATGAATATGCTTCAAGAACAATGCGTCTGAGGTTCACCCAAATCAACAACCAACATGCATGCCAAAGTTGCATTGATGTTGAACCAAGTTAAAGATTACGTCATGAAATCAGGAAAATGTTACCTTTGGTAACTTATCTTGCTGGGCAAGATGATCCACATGAAGCCTCACATTAGATGCAGCAGGAATCCAAAATCTACGATCAACCTCCGAATATACGGTGGCAACTATGTCGAACAAAGTTTCTGCTCCATTTTCTATCGCTTTCAAGACAGAACTTTCTCTAGCTCTGCGGTTCCTGAAAGGTAAGACTCCTCTGTCTGAATACATCTAATATAGTGCCATGATAATGCTATTCTGAATTCTAGTTTTTTTGGCCAAGAACAGTGATGATGATTCTACCAACATACAAAACGGGGGGAAAGGGAGAGAGAGTTTCATACTTGAGATATCCACAAAGCAAGTGCTTTGGCCATAGGTTAACTCTCCCATGCATGGGGACCAAGGCATGTGGGGAAAGCTCCATGAATTTGTAAGTTGATTGAAAGTAATCCTGCATTCGAAATTAAAAAAAAAAATGTTTATATGTATTTACTTATGACAACAGGAGGGTTCGAGATTTGGGAGCAGCCTCTCCATAAATGGGGGTAAGGCTAGCCGACATTCACCTCTCCCAGACCCTGCTTAAAGCGGGAGCCTTGTGCACTGGGTACGACCTTTATAAGAGGTCGCACTTGGTGCGATGGCAAGTGTCTTCACTTATGACAACAGGAAGAAGCTAAACCACCATAATATGTGGCATATACCATCAACCTCTGCTTCTAGAGAAAATTAACTTAAGTAATATACCATAGATAGATACTTACAGTCATATTTCCCCCGGCAGTAACATCCAGTACAGCACTACCTTGACTGCAACAAACCAAAGTTTTTTTTCAGCAGAGCAGTCACAACAGGTTAAAAAGTCCACATATATTTTCTATTGCTGGTGTAAGTGTATAATAAAGTTTGCAACATGTTTTCACAAGCAAGGGGCTGATCAAATCATAGGTTAGGGGTCTCATAAGGTCATAACAAAGCAGAATTCTCTTCTATCTTACCCCACGCAATGATCACCGACAATCAATGTGTGAGTACTGGCATGAAGCAGTGCCATATGCCCATCTGTATGCCCCTGAATTAAAGTCAATAAATAAATAAAATAAATATTATTTTCAAACTGCATAGTAGATTAACATCAGAGTTATATCAAATAGAAAGACTGAATCAGTAAAACTCTATATCATTGGTCATAAATATGAAACCAAAACCTTCAGTATGCTTTTTTTTCATAAAGAAAGTAAAAAGATTTGGTGCTAATGTTACTGCAAGGATATCAGGATTACCAAACAGTTAATAACTCATTAGAATAATGGAAAAATAATAGGCTTAAAAATATCTGAGACTTTTGCTGGTTAAACTCAGAGACTGAACTTCTGAGAGAGAAAAAAAGAAAAAGGAATGTAGTGAGGTTCATCACACTATTGCAATGCCTTTCATAAATGATTTTATTTTGAATAAGAAAGTCAAGTGAGAAGTACTGGAGAAAAGACGGCAATCAATCGCTGACCACCAATGCAAATCTCTTCAGTTCCAGAAATTGCAGTGAAGCCAAGAGACCAGTCATCTGTCATCATATACCACTATAAAATTAGGAAGTACAAGAAGCGCAGAACAAACAACCCAAAATAATAAAATAGTAAACTAGAAGGTAATAGCAACTCGTATCCCTAATTTCACAAAAAGGATCCATCTTCCATCTTACTAAAAGATTACCAGTCATTTTATGTTTTTAATTTAAAAACTTACTGATGTACAATCCAAAATTGTAAAAGAGGATAGACACTAGGATATCAAGCGTTTTGAAATAAAGGTCTTTCCTCTTCATCTAAAGTTAATTTCAAAATGACCTCATCTAGAAATCACAGTAAACTGTGGTGCAATCACAAAATTGAGCTAAGATCCTTATTTCTAGACTTCTCAGTCACTGGAAAGACAAGATGTTAAGATAACAACCTTTTCCAATGCGTCGCACAGTATTTTCATGTGCTCAGGATTGCAACGCTGAATAACTGAAAGACCTGGAGACATCAATAAGACCAAATGTCTACATGTTAATTTAATTTAGCCAAACACAAAAAGTTAAATAAACATATGACATTATATTTTTTCTAGTTTTACAAAAGCTTACCATCCACATGATCCTGATGGTGATGCGTAACAAAGACAACTAACTTTCTTGGCAATGAAGTCACAATTTGTGCGAGCTGAATGTATAAAGTATAAAATAAGTTATCAAGTCCTACAAAAAATAGCTAAAACTAAACCATACTACAGAGGCAGCAGAGCAAACTAACATGCCATACCTCTTCATGGAATTCAGACCGGCACCCAGGATCCACTATCAATGCATCTCCACAAGCAATAAAATCATTCTTCCCAGATTCATTTGAAGCATTTTTGGGTGCAAAAACAACCAGGTTTGTTGTATAAAAAGGTTTTGCTGTCCTGCTTCCCATAGGTACAAGCACAACACCAGGAGGGTACTCCTGCAATCACAACAATCATTACTCCGCGGGAACACAATAATATAATGCGTATAATGGAAATAAAGAAGGGGTTTAATAAGACCGAAAACACACGACAAACCTGGAAAGGTAAGGTGGATGGAATGTTCATCTCTCTCAATTGCTCAGATTCATTTAGAAGACCTGCAACTATCAACGGCCCCACACGATCACTGCTTGGTTTCACTTCAACAAGCCAGCTTAGACAACTCGGGACAGACATCCATCTACACGATTCTGCATATGTACATTTAACATAAGCTGCATATATCTCACCAAAATATCATATCCATTACCATTTATAATTCATACAAAATACATTTACTCAGTAAATTAAACAAAGTTCGAAAGGGGAAAGCAAAGAACTGCTAAAGTAACAGTGATATGAGCAAACCTTGTAAATTTTGCTCCGGTGCTACTAATTTTCCCCTAATGAACACCGAGTTAATGGGCGGACCGGGTCCAAACTGACCTTCCTCCACGTACTTGGACAACCTCCAATCTCCACCGTCAGCTGGCTTAAACCCTACTTGTTCCAGAACCTACTAAATCAACACTCATAAGTACATAAACCCTAAACCCAAAACTTACAATTCGACGATTGAAACCACTAGATACCTGGTTGAGAGCAGAATCGAAATCGAATTTTTCCAAATCGATCTTCCCCGACAACGATTCTGCGCCTGCCACTGCAATCGAGGGCTTCGATTGTCCTTCTAGAAGGTTCAATTGGGAGGCGGGCAAGTCCCAGAGATCGGAATCGACGAACGAGTCGTACTCTTCGTCGTCGAACTTCGGCGGTCGCGTCTGTTTCACGAGGAGGAATTCGGCGTCGTTTTGAGGATTCTCGAGAATCACAGCGAGCTTTTGGTGCGCTGCCATTGCTAAGATTTGGAAGAATGCGACGGAAAGGTTGATGAAGGAGAAGAGTGCGACGGAAAGGTTGTACCAAACGGCGGCACAACCGTAACGGAATTTTAATGTTCGAAACTTCGAATCGAGGTTCTTTGAAGTAGTAGGTGGTGCGGGAACAGTGACGTTGATGTGACCGTTAATGGCGGTTTTAGTCGTTGAAGTAGCCGCGCGTTGGTGTTTTTCTTTTCAACTGAATTTAGCTAAGCCCACTTTTATATTGGGCTGCTTCTCGGGGCTTGACGCGCCCCACTTCGCATGCGGCCTTCATAAATAGGCCTCCTCACTCCTCACCCATTTTAGATTGTTTATATAATCAACTAGCACTTGTTAAAATTTTGAAAAGAAAATTCATCAAGAAAGAAAATATAAAATGATCGCTAAAACTTTTTTATGACAACCTTCAAATAATTTTTTGTCGTTAAAGAGGTTATTCATATCTTTAACGACTTTTTCTGGATAACTGTTATGTCACTAAAAGTTTATTTTAATTGGAAGATAAACGAAAATAGTGGCCACTGATATGGTTACCTGCAGTGATGCTTTGAAAAAAACAGTAACATTATTTTGCATCCCTAACTTTTATTTTTCTTTGGTTGTGTTGACAGAGTTAATTTGGTCTTTTCACCGTTTTTGGTTGACAAAAAGCGTTTTGTTAATAGGTAGTTTAGATAAGAACTTACGCTTATAAGCGTTTTTATTGCAAGTGTAACTACATTTTACACTATTTAAGTTTACGGTGATTTTCTAAATAGGTCATTAAATTTTAATTTTCTCACAACATGATGTAATGTTTTGAAACCGTATCAATTTATCTCTTATGACTATTTAACCTTCTGATCATATGTTAAATTGATGACACAACATGAGAGTTATTCGTAACTTGAAGTGGAAGTCACACATACGCCGCATGGACCAAAAGTAGTCCTCATGAAGATTTGGCTTGTCCTTAATCGATGCCTCATATCCCCAAAACGACAACCAATTGCACAGTTTGGTCATAATAGTGCAAGAATGGGACTGGGTTAATAGAATTTGCAGAAATGTCAAATGTGTTCATATTTTGATGGCGTTAATAGATAAACACTCATGATTTGTTTTGATGGTGGGAAAGGAAAGGTTTTCAAAGATTATTAACCAAATTAATTAATCAAAAGTTAACCTAACCATATATAGTGCGACCAAATATATCTGAAACCAATAAGCTTTTTCCATGCATACTGCACTATATATATATATATATATATATATATATATATATATATATATCATTGAGTATGAGTGGTGCAGGAGCTAGCAGGGGGTTTCCAGGGGAGATGGGAGAGCACTTTGCAGACGACAGACACACGAAAGTCGAAAGACACAGATGATAAGGTTCAAAAGCTTCTCCCACTAACCCTAAAATTGACTCATGACTGTATATTTAATTTACTAAAAAGGTAGACGTACGTGGATGCCATTGAGGGTAATGCAGATATGCAGATGGTGGACCCATTACTACTGAAGAAAGATAGCAACACTCTCTGAGGTTTCCTAGCCACTGTTGGGTAATCTGCATATAAATACGCTCACTTATCAATTTACTTGGCCACCTGGACGTTAATGAAGAAAGATACAGGCTTAATTTTGGTTAGAAAAAAATTTAAAAAAAAAAATGAGAAAGGAAGATGCTTTTATCTTATAATTAAAGAAGAAGAAGATATAGTTGCAGATAATTGCATTAGTAGTAATGGTGGGTTATCCACAAAGTTATTTGAATTTACAAATGAAGAGTGTGTGCCGAACATAAGCACTACACGCTCTTCCCAAATTATTTAATCCTCCACTCATCCAATTGTGCGTGGGAGTGGAATCAACTCTGTTCAGATTTGTCCTTAATTAATTATATGTTTAATCTGATTTGTATGGTTAATCTCAATTGTATGCGTACTTACGTGTTCGATATGAATTGAATTTGACATGAAGATCTTTGGATATATTTAGCTGAATAGCTGCATGATCAAAGTAGAATATACTTTAAAATTTAATTTGCAGTATCAGAAATATATATACACACATATACTCTTACTGACCTACGTATGTACTTACGTTATTTGGGTTGTTCTATTGCGCCCAAATTCCTTTACTTATCAGTTAATGGGTGTTGTTGATCGCTGATCATCCTAGTACGAAGTATAAAATTGTCATGAATTCTACCTTATATATAACAGTTGAAAGAGAGAACGAAGAAAAAATTAGCTAGTAAACTGATGGCTAATTATGTACGTAATTAAAAGAAGTCTAAGCATTTCTTTGCCCCAGATTGGTTGAATATCTGAATAATATTCCTTTGTTATATGCTTTCTTAAATGGACAATACTTGAGTACTCCCTAGGGAGTATCCAATTTAATGACCAAATGATATGGGCCAATAAAATCAGCATAGCTGTCCCTTTAATTCCTTATTAAACTTTTGCCATATTAGGCCATCTCCAGCGGATCCGGCCAAAGGTGTATAGGGCTAAAAATAGCTTGAAATGACACGAAAATAGTCTCCAACCGAGGGCTAGGCCAAATGGTTGGAGATGGTTTTTTGTCACATGGTTATGTTTGGCCTATGGCTCTTTGGCCCCCTCGATTGGAGATATTATGAAATATGGTATAACACTGTTCATTAAAATATAATTTCATGGAGAGCTATAAGGTTAAAGGGAGTCCTCTAGTCCTCGGTTGAAGATGGTCTTAAGAATCAAACACACCAGTCTGTCTTTATCATGTTTGCCAAACATATGCTATCGTGTTATCCAAACATGTCATCTCCCTCACCAAAATACCACCAGCCTTCCATCCCACTCATATCCCAAGCTATCATCCTCTCCCACCACCCCCAACCAAGCCTGTCCCACCCATATTCAGCCCACCCAACCCTCATTCAATCTGAAATTATATATATACTAAAAGAGAAAAACAACTGAAACACTGTCCATAAGCACAGTGTTCTTCCATTTTTTCCCTTCTTGATTTTCTGTTATTTCATGTATGCCCCTGATATCCACGTGTCCTTTGCTTCTATGTGATGTCGACGCGTTGCATGGTTCCAGAAGTTCTCGAGCCTTCCTTTTTTTATTTCAATTTCGATCTCTGCCTCACAAAAGCTCTTCGTGCTCTAATGGCTCTCTGATCTCCAGTTCTCTATTTCTCTCTCTCTCTCTCTCTCTCTCTCTTGCTAAAAATCATGATTAGCAACCTGAAGCAAAAAACTCAGTTTCTCTTGCACGAAATCAATTTTCTTCCCATCATCGATTTTGACTGCATGCACACCTATCAAGCCCTATAATCCAACCGAACTCACTCCCTTCAAGCCCATATTTGCTCTTCCACTCGCTGCCCAGAAAATCAAGTTCTCAAGGTTCGATGTTTCATCAATTTCCTCCCCCTCAAAGATTATTTTGGTCTTTCGTGCATACTGATTTTTTATTTCTATTAATTTTGGTTGTGTGATTAGTGATTTTAAAATTTTGAGTTTTTCTTTCTGTCGTTTCTATGGTTTTTCGTTCTGCATATTTCAATTACTCTCTCTTGCAGCGAAACCATCGCGACCACTAGGGGCCACTACCGCGTTAAATTACGGGCTTCAATCGTTTTCTAAAACCTTCTGTACTCATGGTAAGTTATTCTAGGTTTTATTCCATATTCAGGTCATCCCCAATTTCAAAAGTTTAGGGAATTGGTTCGTTTCCGTGTTGCATGTTTAACATTCTTCTGTGTGATGCTGAGTTGAGGCTATACAAACTGGAATCGTTGAAGGTTGGGTTGAATTTGGCCAAATTTGGGTGAGAACCGTTAAAATCTAATCATAATTTTCTATAAAATTCCCTGTATGTTTATTATCTGTTTCCAACAGCAGGTAATCAGGAGTTTTATTTGATCTTCTCTATGCAGAACCAGAAAGACTTTTTCAAGTATTAAATGTTAGGGTTTCAGTTGCCAAAGTCTGGCGACTTGATTCAGGTCGAACGCCGCCGAGTCGGACACCTCTGTTACGATGTAAAGTGAATCGTAGGTAAGTTGATGCTTAATTTTTACGGTATTTTCGAGTTTTTTTTGCCAGTTTGTTTATATTTTTAACCCGTTTAGCACCCTTTTGCCTCAGAGCTCGGTTGCTGGATGGAGTTGCTCAGTTCGCGCATAACAAGGTCGATTTGGATTCAGGTTGCCTCCAAATTTTCTTGCTTTTTACCATTCTCTGCTTCGAATTACTAAATCACTTCATTTTTTTTGGAAATTTTATTGGTGGTGGAGTTAATTACTGAGATAAAGTTGTGGGCTTTGTCTTTGTGTTTATTTTGGATTGGAGATTCCCTTCTTCCCATTCCTCTGTAAGCCCCTTTTTACTTCACTGTCACTATTGTGCTACTCAATATTCAGTCAATGAAGAATGTAATTAATTTAGCTCCCCTGATTTTCTTCTTTAATTTATCTTTTGTTTGTTTTAATTGGATAATCTCACGAAGTGAACAAGAAGGAATTGACAACTGGGATTTTTTAGCAAGTAATAATGGAATTTATGAATTAGGTGTGTGCTTGATCCGATGAGGTCTCAAAACATTGCAATTCTTTCTTATTGCATTTAGTCCAATTTGGAAAGTAAGTTGTGATTCTGTAACGATGTGTTGAAGGGCCATTTGTTGAGTTCATCAATGGAATTTCGTTGTTATGTATTTTCGTACTTTGGTATAAATTATAATTGATAATTAAGGATTAAATGTCATGAGGTTCCTTTTGTTTAAGATAGACAAGTAAGAAGGAATTGAAGAAGTGGGTTTGGGTTAGTATGAAAACTGAAATAGAATTGTACTTGCTGTTGTTGCAGGGAAATGAAACAGAATTGTACCTTCTGCAAAATTATCGAGTGGTAGCAATTTGCAGATTCCCTAATCAATTGAATTGTTTCCAATTTTATTTATCTTCCTGTAATTTTCTGAAAAAAAATGGTTGTTTTGTTGCAAAAAGCAGGGCTATGCTCCAACGTATTCAAGACTTGAAGATTTCGAAGTTTCCTTGCTTTGTCTTCGAATTCAGGTATTTTGTTATTAATTTGATTGCATTGTATTTCTTGATTTGAATGAAATGGATGCATCTGGTCCTGCAATTAAACATGAATTCCATGGAGTCAAGTAAACTTAATCACAATTGATAATTTTGATTAATTTTTTTAAGTTTTGACTGATTAGGACCGTTTCAATAGACCTATTGCAAGTGCTAGAGATACTTGGTTTGATGTGCTTGAACGCTACTCCAACGACTACGAAACACACAAGTAACATTTACAAATTTCTTCTAATTTCGCAATTTCCATGAATATTTCACACCTTTTGTTATGTCTTCTTAATTTCTATTATCATCGTGTTACTCGCAAACATTGTGAATTCTGTGTTTTTTCCGCATTCAATTACTAAAAATGATTTTCATCCGTTAAAAAATATAGAAAAAAAAGATTTGTCTATTGGGTCCAAAAAAGGCCAAGTTGACAGTACTAACACTACTTTGCAAGAAAATTTAGTTCAAACTATTTTTTTAGATGCATTTACCATGGTACGCTTCTATCATTAGTCCCCGCTGGTTTGCAGAATGAGCTGGAAGAGTGTTGCAAATTTTGTTGGGAAACCTACTACTATAGTTTTCAGAATGGTTATGTCACATACTCTGCTATTCTTCCTGTCAAAAGGAGGAAGGTTTGCATCTTTTACTCAAATAGATGACTTCTAAATTTTGTCTTTACAGGAGGCTTTATTAATAGTGACTTTAGACCACAAGAGGAAGGCTTGATACAACGCTGTTCAAGTTGGGTTACTGGTGAACGCCTAAGCTTTTTTACTTTAATGGACATCAATGCTTTTTGGGTCGTTAATGTTTGTTTTCCGTCCATTTTCCTTGCTGCTTTTGTATTTAGGATTTTAAGCTCAATCGTGAAATTGAGTGTAGGCCTTTTTTATTGTACATAAGTTCTTAACGTGGAGTCAATACAAATCTTCCTTGTACATATTCTACTGTTTAAGTAATGAACAAAATTATTCTCAATGTTTCCAGCTATCATTTATCAATTTTAACGTTTTTAAAGCCCGCAGCGAAGCGCGGGTATTCTTGCTTGTTTTTTCTAAATTCAGTTTAATTTGCACATGATGCCAGAGCCTACGAGGCCACGGGATTGGGTTGATGGAGGTTGGAGGAGGATAGGAGTTGTCCAGACCTGCCATGACAGGGGTAATGGGAGGAAGAAGAGGGTTGTTTGTTTCTTAACATAACAAAAGTTTAATAAAGAATTAAAGGGACAGCTGTGCTGAATTTATTGGCCAATGTCATTTGGTTAGTAAATTAGGTACTTCCAGTGAGTACCAAGTATTATCCTTCTTGAATTTGACTTCACCAACTACTTATAGTTTATCCATGCTAAGAGTCCACTGATAAAAACATTAAGAAATAGGCAAAGGGGAATTAATTATTTTATTTTATAAAGAAAATTAATTTGTTATATGCTTTGACTGGTAAATGTATTTTATGTGGAACTAGTGAAGGCTCCTAATTAATTGTCGAATGCTGAAAAGGGGTACGACTCATAGCCGCTGATTCAAAGTCATAGGTACATCCTTGACACTCAGAGGCTCATGATGGTAAATGGTTGGAAGAAGGGAAATAATAACTTTATCTGAGCAGGTGGTGTTTTAAGAGATTATGATGGTAAATGGATTTCTGGATTACCAATTTGGGCACATGTAAGATTCTTATTGATGAGTTGTTGGGATTTAATTTATTTGGGCTTACAATTGGCACGAAGATTACGGATTCATAAACTATTAGTAGAATCATACTCTGCACTCACAGTTCATTTCGTGTTGAAAGCTGCTGGCGACAATCATCATATGGGTCCTCTTGTTTTGGGCCTGGCATGTCGAGAGTTGCTTTCAAGATCTTGGCAATGGGATCTTCGACATGTCTATGAAGAAAAGAATTTTGTAGTGAACAGTTTAGCAAACTATAGTCTTGATTTAGATTTAGGCAATTTTTTACTTTGACAATCCTCCTTGTTCAGTTAGTTTTGTTCATGAGAATTGACTTGGAATGTCCAAATCTAAATTTATTATTGATTAATTTTCTTTGAACTCTTACTTTTAACCCCATTTTGTCCAAAAATAAATAAAAAGGTTGTGAGTCTCACTCATCCAAGTCAAATACAAGGTTTGAAAGAATAATAAGATTAAGATAATTACTAATATTCCACAGGCCATGCATGACTATCTGTAATACAATGTCCCGGTCCTCAACAACCATGCAACCACAGACCATCCTGCGCTGCGTGATATTATAATATATGGCCTTGGAATAAATACCTTCGTATAAACTATAAACTATAAACTATAAAATAGTTGTCTGTACAGATAGAGAGACTTGATTAGACTACGTTATTTATGCATATACCATGACATTTCGAACTAACAATTATTACAAGCCCACACGTCGGCATATCTGGGTGCAAAGAGTCTCAGTCAGAACTCAGAGTGAATACGGCGGGGACCTGGATTGTCTGCCCTCTCCCATCTCATCCCCTTCTATTTCTGTGGTCACGGTTAAGCCATGTCAACATTTTATATTTATTTTTTTTATAGAAATAATAAGACAAAAGCAATAGGAATATAAAATGTTGACGTGGTTTGACCGTGACTACATAAATATGAGGAAATGAGAAGGGTATGGGATGGGAAAGGCAGACAATCCAGGTCCATACGGCGGTGCATCAAATTGATACGCACAAATTAATAGCCTGTAGTACTAATATGCTGTCAATTTACAAGTCAAGGTTCTGCATTATATCTAGTCACTGACCAGTTATTGCATGCCAACGACAGGTCCTCCTGCATATGCTTCCTTCTTACTTTAGCTCTCTTTGTCGATCTACGAAGTGTTACGAGGCATACCAATATTACCATATCAAGCCCCTAAAATTAACTAATTCTCTATAATAATGATGAACAACTTATATAAAACGAGTTTATCATTGTCGCGAATTCTTGATTTGAGAAATAATATTATGATAATAAAAAATTACTCATGACACTTTATTATTGAACTGAAATATATATCGTGATAAGCCGTGAACCCAATTCATATAATTCTTTATCACATTAATCTCGCCACGAGTAATATGCTGGCCTATCACGTTAAAGTTTCCAAAAGGGGAAAAAAAGAAAGAAATAGAATGGTTTGTTTTCCTATCTTCTACAACTTTAGTTACTGTTCATACGTGAACATGCACGTCGTAGTCGATCGGTAGCCACCAGTTCTGTTCAGGTAGTAGGTTAATTTGGTATCTCCAAAGCCATGGGAGAAGAATATCTGTACGTACACGGAACTTGTGACCACACGGGCATGTCACGTGCCTCCCAAACATTGGCACGTCCTCCACGTCCGCCTCATGTCTAATTAAGCCCTACTCCGGTAATAATCTCAAATGATTGAAATATCCCAAATACCGCATATAGAAAAGAAGAATTTATATATCTTAATTTCAATTAATACTGAGATTTTTTATAATAAAATCTTGCACCTATTGAACTATGCAAGTAATAATTAATAAGTTGAAGATAATTTCTACTAAAACACTCATTATCAACCAAAACCCTATAAAATTATCAGTTTAATCATCTAATTAAACAGAACATGAATAAGGAATATGGGGCAGAAATGTAATTTTACACAACTAAATTTTGCTGTTTTTTTTCCAAAAATTTTAAAAATTAAAAAAACTTCTCACTCCCATATTCTCTATCACTCTCTTCCTCTCTCCTTCTATTTCAAAAACAAAACAAAAAAATTTCTCACACACTTTATGTATGCCCATACGCTAGTATCAATATTATTAAAAATGAACCCTTAACCTGTCTCTATGATAAGATCTACCTTGGCTACCTGATTTTATCCGTCACTGAGTGGATGCTTACGTGGTCAAAACGACAAACCATGTACACGTGATGGTGCAACCTGTATGATATTATCCATCACTGAGTGGATGCTTACGTGGTCAAAACGATAGTCCATGTACACAGTCCAAAACCGCCGTGGTGGTGGCGTACTCACGCGTGGAGGGCACGTGTAATATATAATTGTTTCTCCTCCCGACAACTATTGTACTCGTCATCATTCTCCTCAAACTTGTATATTTACGACAACAACCCTAAAGTATAACCTCAGTCTCATTAATGACCCCTACCTATAAAACACGGTGGCCAGTTCGCGACGTGGACAACTATAAAATGTCCCCTCCCTTATCTTCTTGCAAGGCGTTGAACGTTCTCGTGCTCTCGCCCGTCCCGTCCTCCTCGCACAATCAGAACCACCATAAACGAGCGCGCGTGTATGTCTGCATTTTGGTGAGCCGACCAGATTCCCCAAATCTAGCAGCACAGGAATCCCTAGGGTTTATGGAAATCTGAATCGGTAATCACATTCCCAAATTTACGACGTGTTGGTTTCTATAAATGGCGGCACCATTTCCTGGCGGTGGAGGTGTGGCGGTAATGGCTGGACCCTTAGCCCCGCTCGATCCTTCTCCGTCCAAGACTTGCCTGAAGAGCTCGGCTCACAAGTCGCCGATCCTCATCTTCTTGCTGTTTCACAAGGCTATTCTCTCCGAGCTCGACGGCCTCCACCGAGCCGCCATGGCCTTCGCCACCAGCGAAGGCTCCGCCGCTGGAATTCAGCCCTTGCTGGAGGGCTACCGCTTCCTCCGCGCTATTTATAAGCACCATTGCAAGGCCGAGGACGAGGTGTGTTTGTGGTTTGACTCTGGCCTGTGACACTGTATGCTTGTAGTATTCCAGTTGTTTCAGATTTCAATTTTGTAGAGAATTTGGTGATTAGTGTTAGTATTATTGGTTTAATTATTCATCGTCTATGCGTTATGTAACTATTTAACTACATTTTATGGTAGTGATGGTTATACTTGCTCAATTTTGAGGTTGTAGATTATGCACAAACTGTTTAGGAAGTAAAAATTGATGGATTGGGGCTTTTTCAGGTCATATTTCCAGCTCTAGATATACGGGTGAAGAATGTGGCTCGAACGTATTCTCTTGAACACGAGGGAGAGAGCGTTCTTTTCGATCAACTGTTTGAGCTGCTAGACTCCGATAAACAAAATGAGGAGAGCTACCGGAGAGAGTTGGCTTCTTGTACTGGAGCCATCCAAACATCAATCAGCCAGCATATGTCCAAGGAAGAGGAACAGGTATTTGTTTCATCCCCTTGTTAACTTTACATGATTTTCGCCATTGTTGAACAAATGCTGAGTTTTATTGAATTTGGCAGGTCTTCCCTTTGCTTATTGAGAAGTTTTCATTTGAGGAGCAAGCTTCCTTGGTGTGGCAGTTTCTGTGTAGTATTCCTGTTAACATGATGGCAGAATTTCTTCCGTGGCTCTCTTCCTCCATATCATCCGACGAACATCAGGATATGCGCAAGTACTTGAGCAAAGTAATACCAGAAGAGAAGCTTCTGCAGCAGGTGAGGGTTGCTTTTCACGGCATATCATTTCAAGTTGTTTATTAGAGAAAGAAATATATGTTTTGCTGACCTTAGGTTTTTTTTTTTAATGATGCGGAGGTTGTATTTGCCTGGATGGAAGGGGAAAATGTTTCACAGGGCAAAGGTAATTCCGAGGGGCAATTTCAAGATTCTGTAAATAAGGGGAAGTGCGCGTGCGAATCTTCCAGGACTTGTAAAAGGAAACGTGTGGACGTACAATCTGATAATTCCAGCACCATGGTTTCGAATCCTATAGATGAAATACTTTTTTGGCACAATGCTATAAAAAGAGAGTTAAGTGACATAGCTGAGGCCGTCAGGAGGATAAAACTTTTTGGAGATTTTTCTGATTTGTCTGCATTCAACAAGAGGTTGCAGTTCATTGCAGAAGTTTGTATTTTCCATAGGTATGGTTTTTGGCCTTGTCTGTTCCTTTGATATTCTTCTTGTTGCGAAATGACATACTCCTAATGCATTGAATTCTTTGCTTCGA